AAAAAAAAAAAAAAAAAAAAAAAGGCTTTTGTCTCCAGGCAACCGGTGGTATTTAAAGGTAAGAAAAGCAAACAAAAAGCATCGAGCTGCCTTCCTCGTGTCTTGATGCATGCTGATGTTTGGGAATTTCTCCCCTCCATTCATTTCCAAGAAGATGGATAGTGCTTACGACCTGGATCAATAAGATGATTGATGAGGAAGTGAGTTTATCCTGTTTGTTTTTATTGGCCACAGTGTGGAAACACCTTAGTCTGAAAGCTCAGGCATTGGTTGCTAGGTTACCACTCAATATTAGACTAGTAGGATTGACTGCTGGCATGCCATCACCTCCAAGGCAAAAGAAAACAATACAGTGCTACTTCATGTTTAAACACACAAATACAGCAAGGAATTGGACCAGAGGCCTTCATCAACTACTCACCCTCGTCCGGCACTTGATTTCACAACATAGTTTCATCGCTTCTAAAAGAATCTTTTTCATTCATCCATTAAGCACACTCCTAGTGTGATACTAGAGGATGTACGTGTACAACCCTGCTGACTCACATTATCTCACCCACTCCCAGCTCAGGTGAAAGGCGTGCCGTATCCAGTGAGGCATGGGAGTGTTTTGGTGGCAAAGGCTGAGTAGTTGTGCTTACACAGTCAGCAAAATGACGGGTGGCTGGCCTCTGTCATACGACTACAGTAAAGTGAAAGCAACCCACTTGAGTAAGTGAATACTCAAGAGGAGGTGAATTTGCACATTGCTGATTCATACAGTGAAAAAACATTGAAGGATGCAGAAAAACAAAAAAGGAGAAAGTGTCAGGTTACAGTGTACAAAATTCAGTCAGAAAAGAAACACAGACCGCTAGAGATGAGAGCTCATTTCTTCTTTAAAGCTGGAAGCCTGATCTAACATGAGATACAAGCACGAGGTATGTAGGCAACCGACTAATGTGAGGCCATGCAGAGAGGCCTTTTGATGTGATAATGCCATCTAGTCGATTCATGTTCAGCGAGGTCAAAAGGCTGAATTGTACTCTCCATCACATAGTCAGTCAATTATAAATCTGGCACAGCCCTCAAGATCAGGCAGAGACAGCTGAGAGAAAGACCAATATACTAGAGACTGTATTTAAACCAATATGAAGATTCTGCATGCAAAGACTAAAATATTGATAAAACTGTAAAAGACTCCCTACAGACTTAATTTTGTTCCCACAAATAAGTGTTAAACTGCCAAATATAATTCAGTGATAACCAAGCAAGTAGTCCTAAGTGTTGATTAAAAATAAAATCATAAAAGTCATTTTATCTTTCTGTGGAGAAAAAAAAAAAAAAAAAAAAGCCCAACACAGCATTAATATGAAGTCAAGTTACTTAGAATTGAATCTGATGTACTGCAGCACTGGCCTAAAAGCAGAACTGAGTCCTGAACTGATATGGTACAAGATAGCAAAAGGGTTTTGTTGACATTAGCCAAATACTACCATCCAAAACAAAGGAAGAGTGTTGATGTTAGAGTTCTGATAGTGGGATTATTTACATAATGTGTATATAAAATGTAACAGGAAAATGAGCAGAGCTAAGGAGAGAATGACACAGTCAAGGCTATAAACCAAGAGATCCAGGGATCAAGGTAACCACAAATTTCAAATGGACGCACATCATTTGGTTTAGCAAACAAAGAAAAGCCGTGTGTGTAATGTTGTAAATTTTAAGACTGATTTGTGAACACAGAATGTGATCCAATGAGCTAGACAGCACAGTAAGTGGTCAGGTTTGCTCCAAATCTGATTTCAGTCAGGAGTGGGGCTGTAACCAGCTGGGGGGGGAGGGAATTTTTTATATTATTATTATTATTATTATTCTTTTTTTTTTTTATTATTTTTTTATTTATTTATAAAGCATTTCATCACAATGTTTGTTTGTGGGTTTTTTTCCCCCCCCCACATCTGGGTTTCATTTACTCGAGCAAAAAGACATTTGTTTTTTAAAAACAAAACAAAACAAACAAACCTCTTAAAATAAATAAAAAACAAAACATTGATTTCTGTGAAATAATGTTAGGTTACTTTTAATGTACGCAGGAGAAGTGTGCTTTAGCGCATGGTCACCCCCCAAAGGCATGTGCAAAGCGAGGAAAAACCCTGGCATGACCACATTCCTACTACCACAAGGTGAAACGTCATCCAACTCCAACTCTTCCTGCTAACCAAGAAAACTTGAGACCTACATGTAGGTGCAGTGATGTTAGAGTAACAATGGAAAGAATGAAAGCTTAATCAGAAGCGTTGCTTCATGTGACGTGGGACACACCATGTCGACAAGTCAGCCAACTTTGCCCAACTAATGAGAACTGAGATCAGAGATTGAGGTAATGCACTTTGACACTAGGTACATCTGATGTTATTATCAAGATACAGATTAAATGCTACCTGCTCCAGTGAACCCATGTGACAAGGAAGCAGCTGAAAGTAGCTATACACACACACACAGACAGATACAAATACATCTAGTGTCTACACTGGCCTTTAGACTGAAGAGAAAAAGAAAAGAAAAAACAAAAAACCCACAGACATTACAACTTAATGTCCTTCATCTGTTTTGCCTTGTACGCAGAGAGTGGATTTTCTAAGAATCACATTGAAAAGCTAAATTCTAAAGCTCTAAAATACCTTGATGTCTCATGACCTTTTCTTAAATGCTGACCATTCAGGTACAGAAAGCTTTCTCAGACACTCAGCACCTGCCCATTACTAGGACGGACAGATTCCAAGTGTGTGCATCTGTAATAAAACACCAATATGAAGCAAGTCATCTAACCTCGTTCAACTCGTCTTTGTTGCAAGACCCATGGGTTACGTAGTTTAATTCTGCTGTGGGACTGCTAACCATGTGACTACAAAGCACGAGATATGCAGTCAAGCCCCAAGGTTAGGCCTTCAGGAAAAGAAAAAAACTAATTCTTGTTTCTAAAAGGCTCATCTTATCTCAAAGACATTTCTTCCAAATAAACCTACAAAACCATGAGAACCTGTATCTGATGCTCTGCTTCAGTGATCACACCTGATGGTAGCAAGCAGAGTAAAAAGTTAAAGTGGCCTGAAGGTGTTAAATATGGAGCTGAGTGAGTCGTGTTAGCTTTTAAGCACCAAGTCAATCAGCTAATGACAACATGTTGCCTTTGCATATTATAGCTACAGTCCAAGCAGTTTTACCAGTGTAAACTAGATTGATTATTTTGACTTTGAGAAGTGGTTAGTGATGTTTTTAAAAAAAAAAAAAAAAAAAAAAGCAGGGACAAGCAATCAGGTCATTCCAGGAGTGTGGTTTCGAACGGGTGATGAGAAAAGAAAACAATCAAGCCTATACCTACAGACATGTGACTTTTAACCACCAGAAAAGCCGGTTCTTTTTCGTCTTTACAGCAGTGGCTTGCTTCTTAAATGCAAAAGCCTTACCGTCAATTTTCTAGTTAAACTCTGTAGCTTCCTTATATAAGAGGTCCTTATTTACAGAAGCCCAGTCATTAGATTCTGTGAAAGTGCTTGGGGAGGTTCACATCAAAAGTCAGCAGCTAATAAACTGTAAGATTTTGTTGTCAGTGGCTCTTAGCAGTGTTATCAGCACTTTAAAGCTCTGCAGTGCCAAAACCTTCATTTAGTACAGAAAGAACATACTCCCACACTAGCAATAACACAGGAGGAATACTCCACACTTAAAGAACAGCTTTTTTTTTTCCAAAGGCTGATCTCGATCATTTTGTCTCCTCTCTTCCAGCATTTTTAGCACTTCTAAAGTCTCCCCATCTGCTCTTAGTAATTTGTCTTCCAGCAGGAAACATACAGACAAGCAGTCTTACTGGATGAAATTTTATCTTTCCCTTCACCCAAAACAAGAAGTCACAGATATAATGGACATAGTACTCACACACACCCACACCCTCCACATCCTGTTTCATCGCGGCAGGTTGATGTTTGCTTTCTTGCTTCTACCTTGCATGTATAGGTAGAGCTTCAACTAAAATTATTTTCATTTTTAATTCATTTTTCCCCCCCAACACGTTCCAGCTAGCTGTTGTGTAAAATATCAGGAACACCGTGAAATAGGTCTACCACAGATTCCCCAGATCAAAGATCTACCTTCATCCACTTCCCCCAAAACATCTTAGGAGCAGGAACTAACAAGTATTTTGGGCTTTGATTCAATAATCTGAAAAGCGACTGATGAATTCTCCGTTTACGTTTCAGTTCTACTTATGTTTTGTTTGTGGGTTTTCAGTACAGGCACTCTACTAGCAAACCTACAGACTTTAAGCACAATGTGGTGACACAAAGGACAAAAGAAGGAGATGACGAGATGGTCGGAGACAATAAGCAGACGTCCTCAAACACAAATGGAAGGAAGTGAAGGCCACAGCGTTAGACAAACTGATAAGCACTGCTTACATGTAAGACGACCTTATCTGGGGGAAGGAACTGAAGCTGAACAAGAGTTCACACCTGCAGTAACAAACTATTCATGAGCATGAGGACCAGATACAAGTGATGCAGAGGACGAGTTCTTTATACAGAGTCTTTTATAAATCAATTACTAAGAAGTTTGATTCTTTAAAAATAACTATTGAAGTGTAATAGAACAAGACTTCAACTGCAAACTGAATTCCTGCTGGGTCATGTGCACTTTGAAACCACAATAAGATAACAGAAAGTCCTGAACAAGTAGGTTATCATCAACTGGGAAAACATGAATACCAGTTTCCAATCAGCCAATAATTAGTCACCTGTACAAACATGTAGCAGAGTTACCACTCACACCTACATATTATTGGAGGAGGGGGCGCAGCGTAATCACAGAACCCACGTTTCTTCGCCTACAAGAACATCATGTTCACCAAGCCATTCCTCATCATCTTCCCTCATGATTTTGTGAAGTTCTGTTAAGTAGTCATCCCTCCGCCCCCCAGCACCTTTAGAAGTTCACATCTTCTCATTTTTGCCCTTTTCCATTCAAATCATCATTTCCTTCACTAATCCTCATCATTTAACACTTTCTAAAATGCCCCCATATTTGTACAGCATGCCAGAAACACAGGTTGACACTGTTGTTATTCATAATATTCCTGTTAGCAATACAAAGCTGCCAACCAAGACATAAAACAGGGACCTGCTATTAATATGACTAATAAGGCTTTAAATATTACCACCACACACACACTGTAGGGGATTTCTTTTTTTTATAACCATGTTCCTTACAGTTTTTCTGTGTTATGTCACTTCCCTTTCCCCTTCAGATACTCCAATTAAAAAAATAAATCAAGTACTGTGGGAACTTTACTTTTTTCCCCCTAAAGTTCATCGGGTTTAACTCCTTCGTTTGTCATGAGTCATCTAAACGGCCATTTAGGTTCATTTCTCCATGCTATCACATCCTATCACATCCTAATAAACAGGTTTTGAGTGACTGCAGGAGTCTTGTGCATTCACAAATAAGTCTCTTACAGGATTCTGCATACTGCTCAGTTGTTTTAATATCACGTCATTTTATATTACTTATCCATCCATTATAACGCTTCATTACCGTGATCGGAGCGCCTGCCAGGCAGCATCTACATCAGCATACAGGTTCTTCTCCGAGGGTTTCCCAGAGCTGGCCCCATAACCAGAGTAGTCGTAGGAAAAAACGTTGCAGTTGATCCGAGAACCGAGGCCAATGTAGAAGCTGCTCATCTGGCCCAAGTCCACTGCATTACCGTGGGAGAACAACAGAGTATACCGGGCGCTGGGTGAGCAGCGGACAAACATGCAGGCAATGCGGTTCCCTCTTGAGGTGCGTGTCATGAAACACTCGATGGCCTCCTTCTCACGGGCCGAGTACTGCCAGTCAGCACGCTCGGAGAGGTGCAGCGTCCATCGGCTGCCACTGTCATCACACATGAGGCTGTAGGTCGGCTCAGGGGGTAGAAAGGCCAGCTTTGAGGCAATCTTGCTGGGGCACGGTGGACAGCAGAACAGGCAACATAGCTCACTGAGCGATAAGTGGTTCATCCTCAAAGTGCTGCAACAGAGAGAACCAAAATGATTAAAATAGAAAAATCCCATAGTGAGGAAGAAAACCAACAGATATGCCAATGCATCCCACAAGAAAGATGCTACAAAAGCAAATCTCTGCCAGAGAGTTTTGAAATTAGGTTTTTCTACATAAACAACTATATCTTTTTAAGCAAAGCAGGGGATTTCTTGGACAAGGGGCTAGAGCCAGGCTGCTGTCATCTTTAAAATTTTATTTTTTTTATTATTACACTAAACAATCTCTTTCTCTCTCCCCCTCTCCAAAACGCAGAGCTCTCTCGAGACAGGATTTTAAAGGGAGATGACCCTAGCCGAGTGATTTTTCTCTCCTTGTCTACCCTGAGGCTTCACAGTCACTCAGAGAGAATTAACTTGAAAGGCTTTTTTGTCTCTCCCTGCACCTGGACCCCTACCTTAGGTTACCTCTTAAGATATTCTAGCTACTATGAAACTGCAGCAGTGATGTCAGCACAGCTCCTTTTTGGTGAAACATAAGGCAGCTGGAGGCAAATCTCCAATTTATCTTAGCCAGTCATGCTGCTTTGTAATGTGACTCGTTAACCACGCAGGGAAAAAATGCTCACTAATATCAGATTATGACAATGTGTTATATGGATTACCTTTCCTCTTTCCTTTGGCGATAGCTCCTCTGACCAGCCTCAGCACTTAGCAGCTTCGTAGATGGACATTTCTGTCTGATATATTCATAAATCTTGCAACTGATTTGCTTGGATCAGTCTAAAGAAACGACGCTAAACAGCTGCTGGAAATTACTTGATTAATCTTACTCACACGCTGCTGATTTTTAACTCAGCTGAACTGTCTGTATGATACGTGGGTAAATAAACGGCTGTGTCAGGGATGACTGAGGATTGGGACGACAATGGAGCCTATTTGCTTCCTACATTCTTACCACAAAGTCCATTCCAAGCAGAGGCTAAACGGAGCCCCGCGGCGATTTACTGTAAAATGGTGGTGGATGTAGCAATGTGTTCACAGAGATTACAGTTACACCAGGCTATTTGTGAGGGTTTCGTTTCTAGCAGCTACAATTAGCTGCAAAGTATGGTGTACCAAGTGTACATATATTCCAAAGAAACCTTACCTGGACGGCGGCTGGGGGTTTGTTTTGGTTTTCTTTCTGTGTTTAAAGGTGATAGTACTGGGCAGACGTCACCGCAGTCTTGAGATATCTTCGCACCAAGCCAACTAATTTATCTTCTCGACACCTAGAGCTTGTCGAGGTTATCCTTGGCCAGATTATCCTCGGTTAGCGATGTCAGTTTGAGTGTGTTTTATCCTTCTTTAATTAGTATTAGCTGGCAGCTTCGTCCTCCGGACCACAGTCTTCTGAACTGTCGTTTCCTTTATTTTCCCTCCTTTCGGTTTTCTCAACATACGGTCCTGGACGATAACGACACCGACTCATTCGAAACGTTCAAGTTTCTAAAGCACAGCAATGAAGCTGATAGGAAAGATAACAGTTAAAAATTCACTCAAATCTAGCAAACGTGTCCGTGCAGCTTACCAAACAATTCACAGCAGTATCACCTGCCACCGAAACATCACTGCTTTCGTTGTGAATATCGCCCGGCCCTGCTTGTTATCTTGGCTTGAGGAAAAAGAGGCGTTCATTGACAGCTCTGTGGACCAATGGGAAAAGAGGTCGACAAAACGACTCCCCCAATGACTTTGATGTTTATGGGCGGTCCTTCTAGACGCCGCAGTCTGAGGATTTAAGTTTTTTAGGATTGACAACCAATCAGAAATTACTATTGGAAGGCATCGTCCAATCAGCGTCCACAAAGGTGTTTCTAGTTCTAGTCGGTGATGTCATTGACAAGCTATAATTTATTAAGTGTGTTTGTAAATGTAAAAAGAAATTTTGACTTTAAAAAAATAAATACATACATAAAATATACTGTTTATTAAAATAACACATTTTTCTTTCCGTTTTTTAGGTAGTTCTCAACGACGTTTCATGACGCGTTCTTACTTCTTCCGGGTTAGTGCTCTCGCTTGGTGGCATGGTGCTTAGTTTGTGTAACGTGTGTGGCTAAAAGGGTTTAATAACATGAGTTCTCAGAGAGGTAATATATCTCGATCGCGGGGCCAGAAGCATCAAAACACAACTGCGTTTAAAAACGACAAGTACGGGGCGACTACGCAAGTAAAGGTGTGTCAGATTCAGCTTTGCTGAGCTAAGTTATTTAGCCTTGTATTGCATTTTGCATTTGGGCCATTTTATCAAATCTTCAGAATATATTCGGCTAGCCCATTTCAGATTTTGCTAAAGGTTTTATGGTCCAAAGTTTGGACGTGTGTGTGCTGTGAATTTTTTTTCTTCGTGTATCTAATACTTTTCAAGATATTTGAAAACTTGATGTGTCCTATCATAAATTTTATAAACTATTCTGTGTGTTTAATTTTGCATTATTGTGAAACACAGTTATATCTAATAAATGTTCAGAAATTACCTGAATAGTCTGAAGACTTCAATGTGAAGTTTTTATTAGCGTTCTTGAATGAGTCTTGAATTTATTATTTTATTTTATTATTCTTAGTTTTTCTATGTTATAACTAGTCAATACATTCTGATACATTTTATGGTAAGAAAGTAAGAAAGGGTTAGTGAAAGTTTCTGACTTTTATCTTTAATAGATTTTGAGATACTCATGTGTCACGTCATTTTACCATAGTGCAAAAAAAGAAAAATAAAGTTGTGTATGTGTGTAAAGCTATAATTGCACAGAAGCCATTATATAAACTAACTATGCACCACAGAATATGTAGGTAAATCATCGAACAGAATGGTGATTTGAGACAGAGTGGTCTTATTGCTTAATTAATGCTTCCAATAAGTGTTAATTAAGGAAAGTTAAACTTATTCACAATATTCATTTATTTGAGAAAGCCTGAGACTGTAGGGAGTTTGTACTTTTTTCTTCCTGTCATTTCTGCCAGTGATAAATCATTTCCTGTGAAAACTTGTTTATAGCTCTTGCTTTGTTAAACACACATAATATTTGAACATCTCTATTGTCTTTGCTTCTCTAATCTCAATTGTAGAAGGCAAATTCAAAGATCCATGATGGGCTTTGTCAACGCTGTAAAGGTGTTCTTGAGTGGAAAGTTAAGTACAACAAATACAAGCCACTAACACAGCCTAGAAAATGGTAAGTATACATAAGTATTGCAGACTTTGATTTCAGTACGCAGGGCTAGGGGCAAATTCTTACAGCTGCTCATGAAAATGCACATCAAGTAACAACAAAGCAGTCGGTGAATTGAAGAGAGTCAGCATTAAGTTTATTTCAGTTTATCAGCTTCTTTTTTTTACCTGTGCAAAAAATGAAACTACACCACGAACATTCTTTGCTTATTTCATATCGTGCATGATTTTAGCCATCTCATTTTTTCATAGTGGCAGACTTTGAAAATTAGCCACTAAATATTTTATCTCCACTGCTTAGAAGAATTTCCCAACACATGGATATATTGTTTTAAGTGGCAAGTTAAATACATTGGCCTTAATAGTTGATTGTTTTTTGTTTGTTTTTTGCAGTGTCAAGTGCTCCCAAAAGACAATAAAAGATGCGTATCACATCATTTGTAAGCCCTGCTCTCTTCAGCAAGAGATCTGCTGCAAGTGTGGGAACAAGGAGGAGATTGTTATTCCGTAAGAGGATAAGTTTGCGTGTGTTTTGTCCTTATATACATTAATGTACAAAGTACGAACTCACCCATCTTCATATTTTGCTTCCAAGGTGCCAGAGCTTTGTCCTCCGCTCAAGACCTGTTTAAAAAAGGTCTTGAGCAATAGTTCCTCAGGCTTTCAGAAAGTCTTTCATAGTTTTTCTTTGAACATTGGCTGCTTTGTCCACTCATTTCCAGTCCAGTCCTCGTACCTGAGCATTTTCTTTTAGGATTTTCTCTTCGTTAAGCCACTTAATACTGACCTATGAATCATTCAAGCTTAA